ATACCATTTATATGAAATATCTGGAAGAGACATGTCCAAAGAGACAAGAAAGTAGAGTAGTGGTTGCCAGGGGCTAGGGGAAGGGGATGGGGTGTGACTGCTAATGGGCATGGGGTTTCTTTTTGGGATGATGAATATGTTCTAAAATTGACTATGGTGATAGCTGCACAACTCTGGGAATATACTAAGAACCATTTTATGGTAAAAGCTGTTTTTAAAAATAAATTTTTTTATAGAAGGGTACAAAATAGTCAAAGACCAAAGACAAAAAAAAAATACTCTATGGGATGGAATGGAACTGGAAATTAGGTTGTCAGTAAGAATTCATGATTTCTAAAATGCCTATTTCCTACATATAAATGGGCCTAGAAGCAATGACACTCCAGTAGCAATGAGTATATACGGAGTCCAGATCTGGTTTTCTATCACTGTTTGTCATGAAAAGGAATCAGGGCTCCCTGGAGAAATGGCTGATTCCAGGGCTGACCCAGGGAAATACAAGCTGAGCCTGGAATATCTTGTGCCAAAAAACAAGGAAGAGAGAAAAAAAAAAAAAAAAAGTGGGGCCATGCCATGAGAACACAGAGCCAGTGTGCAAAGACTGTTACTAGCCAAATCTAGGACAATGTGAGCACCAAAATAATTAAGGACAACCAATGAACTATATGTAAATCACTGAAAAAAAAGATTTCCACAAGTCCATATAAAGATGAATGGATGGAAGGATGGATGGATGGATGATGGATTGTTGGTTGGTTGGACGGGAAGAAAGGGCTCTTAGAGCAGAATGAGACTTCCAAATATAAGGGTTTAGGGATGGAAGCTAAAAAATTACCATTTGCAATGAAAATACAGAGATTGGTTCAGGCAAGAATGATCAATAGATGCTAATTTGAGGATGGGAATAAGAAACAGGATATCTGCATGGTCTTAAGTGTCTGCTCATAGACTGCTCATTAGTTGTAATATGAAAACTAGTCAATACACAATGGAGAATCTGGACAGCACCTTGTCAGGTGATCAAAATCAACATCACCAATGAGGTCAGTTGGATATAGCATGTCTCCAGAGTTGATACACGAATAAGGGCAAGGAAGTACTCCATGACATATTTTGGCCAGAAGTGCTGACCCGAATCCAAAATGAGAAATATTCTGTTAACAAAACACCTGGCCCTGCATTCTTCAACAATATCAACAGCATGAAAGAGAGAGAAAGTCTGAGGGTCTCTCCAGATTAAAGGAGACATAGGGGCACATCAACTAAATGCCACATGTGATCCTGAATTAAAACTAGCACCAGATGCCTGACCAATGTGGCTCAGTGGTTGAGCATAAACCTATGAACCAGGAGGTCACGGTTCGATACCCCATCAGGGCATATGCCCGAGTTGTGGGTTCAATCCCCTGTGTGGAGCATGCAGGAGGCAGCCCATCAATGATTCTCTCTCATCATTGATGCTTCTGTTTCTCTCTCCCTCTCCTTTCCTCTCTGAAATGAAAATAAAAATAATAATTTTAAAAAAACCAGCACCAGAGTATCATGCTACACAGGACATTATGGGACCACTTAATTTAAACAGCTGGAATATGAACAGTCAATTAAAAAGAACAGTATCAATGTTAAACTATGGATTTTGGTAACAATATTGTGTTTATACAGAGAATATCCTTGTCTTCGGAAACCCAGTGGAGAATATTGGGAAGTAAAGGGCAGAATGAAGGCAAACTACTCCAAACAATTCAGAAAAAAATAATATAGGAAATAATATAGGAAATGTAATCAGAGCATGAGGTAAAAATGATAAAACACTGGTGAATCTAGATAAAGGATAAATGGAAATTTTCTATATTATTATAACTGTCCCATAACTTTGAAATTTTTCCAAATAAAGGTTATTAACATATATAAAGTAAAAGAACAAACCATAACACAGATGCTCTGATTAAAGCCTTTACTTAAAGAGTAAGGGTAGAAGAGTCTGATTCTTACAGGGCTTTTCTGACAAACTGTTAGCACTCTCAGACTATGATTTTTTTTCTTTCCTCTCTCTGCTCCAGAAGTCCCTAAGCAAGGTGATGAAGTTGAAAACTGAGGAGTTAAGGGAGCAATAAAGCAAAAAATAAAATGACATAGTGAGGAGGGTGAGGCGTCCATTGAGCTCAAACAGGAAGAGATGGGTCCCTAAACAGATGAGGTCAAATTAGAACTGCTCCTTCCCACAGCAGTCTCTCAGAAATATGAAAACCAGGCAGCTTGGCCAAGAATATGTGCTGGCTGATTCAGAGATAAGATCCTCATACCACACACAAAAGACTAGGCAGGGGTGGGCAAACTTTTTGACTCGAGGGCCACAATGGGTTCTTAAACTGGACCGGAGGGCCGGAATAAAAGCATGGATGGAGTGTTTGTGTGAACTAATATAAATTCAAAGTAAACATCATTACATAAAAGGGTACGGTCTTTTTTTTTTTTTTAGTTTTATTCATTTCAAATGGGCCGGATCCGGCCCGCGGGCAGTAGTTTGCCCACGGCTGGACTAGGGCTTCAAACACAGGAACGCCCATTGAGAACAGGCATTTTGTAGGACAAGTCATCAAATCTGTTCAGTGACCTTCACTTGGGTGCCTTAACAAGGACAATGTAGTTTCCCAAATAATTCCACACTTTATATTACACTCTATTTGTGCCTCATAACAAGAGTGATAGAATGAAGTGTAATAGGAAAGTGTAAGAAAAGAGAAAGCCCTCCATACATGTAACCAGACACTCAAGGAACTGACATCTGTATCAACATTTTCGAATGTATAGCATTATAATTTTTAGACATTCTGAAAAAAAGAAAAATATTAAGAAGAGAGGACATAACAAAACAGCTCTCCCATATGAACATCCACTGTGTCAAGTCAAATGAATGGTGTGGGAACCAAAGTATCTAGGGCTCCTCAGTGAGGTGTGAAAATCCTGTACTCCATTATTGTTGCAACTTTCCTGTAAGTCTGAAATGACTTCAAAGTAAAAGTTGGATTCCTTAACCTTATTGGAGTTTTAAAATCTCACTGAGATTAAAACCTTAACTGAAGCTTCTTTCACACCCTCCAAGCACATTTTATTGGTACTTACATAACTACATATCGGTTGCTCAATAAATTAATGTTCTATTAAAAGTAAATCTCCCAAAGAGGCAAAAGCAAGGTTTAGGATATATATTTTTATTGATTTCAGAGAAGAAGGAAGAGGGAAAGAGAGATAGAAACATCAATGATGAGAGAGAATTATTGATCAGTGGCCTCCTGCATGCTGCTACTGGGGATTAAGCTCACAACCCAGGCATGTGCCTTTGACCGGAATCTAACCTGACATTCCATCCACTGAGCCAAATTGGCTAGGGTGCAAGATTTAAAATTTCTTGTCCTGGCCAGGTAGTTCAGTTGGTTAGAGCATCATCGTGACACGCCATCGTTGCGGGTTTGATCCCCGGTCAGGGCACATACAAGAATCAATGAATGAATGCATAAATAAATGGAACAACAAATCAATGCCTTTTCCCCCAACCCCCTTCCTTCCTCCCTTTCTCTCATGAATTAAAAAAATTTTTACATTTCAGTTCCTGGATCAAGCTTACTACATTCCTTGACTTCTCTGGCTGACCAAGTGAAGAGTATAAACTGAAAAGATACCATTTTACAAGAAATCTGCTCCTCTCCCTTTCACATATAGTAGGCAGAAATAAACCCTCTAAAGCAGGATTCTCAAATGGAGCAGAACAGAATACACTCCATCCTGGGAATTCTGGTCTTCATTAATTATGAAAAAATATATCCATACTCAAAATACCAGAAAGACTTTCATCAGTTCTGATACAGAACTCGGAAAATTAAATAGAATTTATCAATATTCTAATGGGCAATAACAATAACATCGACATCTTTATATGGTGCTATAATTAGTTTGCATGCACCTACCTTATTAATTTCTTAACAACGGCATTTTGTCCACATTTTCAAAGGGCAGGGAAGATAATATTACAGCTTTAAGTCTTTCTAACACATAGCTGCAGTGCCAAGTACTTCAAGATCTATAAATATTTAATTGCATACAATCTAGAAATCCTTAGACAAACCCTTGTAAGGTCAAATACTCATTCTGGTTTTCATTATGAGAATTTATAGCATACTTATTTTGGTAATTTACCTCCTTCATCATTCCATACCTCATAGAGATAGCTTGTTCTAAAGAAAGAGGTATGTATTTAGAGGGACAGGAAGGGATGGCTATAATGTTCTTGAACTCCACCCTCCACACTTCACAGGGGTGCAAGCTGGGGCACCATGGTGGGTGCGAGTGGAGGGGGAAGGAGTGCATATGGAGCCAGCCAGTCGTACATGCTGCTCAAGGAAGGATAAATGATCACAATGGAACGCTTGATGCCTGGCAAGCAGGGAAAGAATATACCGCTCAGAATGGCCAAAAGTCTAGAGCTAAATCTTTTTAAACTCTTTAAAATTAAACTGTTGTCAAGTTTATCCTTTCTTTGAGAATCAAGAGAACATACACATTCTATTGGATTTATAAACAATAATTAGGGAAAGGAAAGTGTATGGAGGAATACAGCCTCATAGAAAACAATTATGTGTTTATTCAAATGAAACTGAGTTACAGAGAGAGAAAGAGTAATCTGGGGTAGGAATAGAAGAAAAAAAGGATCAGAAATTCAAAAGAAGTAGCTTTCATTTGGACCCATGTGGTGTTTGCTGTGGTATTGTTCACACACCTTCCCATAAACAACATCAGTCTGTGGCTTCTGGAAAAACATTTGGGACAGTGGATAAATACCGGCCATGCTTGTCCAATTGCAAACCGTAAGGACACTGCCATATTCTTCACATTCTCCCAAGTATCGACAAAATACATGAACCATTTTCACCCATCCCAGACAGTTATTTAAGCTCTCTTGACTATACAGTCATTCTGAAGGTCACAGGTACAGTTTCACTTACATGGTTAATGAAGAGACTCTTGCGTTTTTCTCTCACTGTGAAAACAAAAGATGCAACAAAAATGTTACACGACTGCATGCCAACCCCTTACAGGTCACCGAGGACTAGCCCTCTGTGCCGTGATCCCATTCTTCCACCAACCAACATATCCAGTTGCTCCATTACCCAATATAAGAAAGAATATGTGACCTGCACAACAGAGATCTGAACCTGGTTAATAGAGCAAAATATATACCCACTTAAACTATGGCATGCTAACAAAGTAAGTGTAGGTATAATTAACTGAGGGGTAATAGCTTTCCAATAACTAAATAAAATCTCAATTAGCAAATCTCATAAAACTTGTACACATCCATTAATTTAAGATAAGTAACAAATAATAGGACTACTGATTTCTAACCTGAAAAGGTCCATACTATAGGTTCAAATATAAATATCAATAATAACCATCACAAGCATTAAGATACATGACAAAATATGCTAGAAGCATTATTAGCATTGAAACAATTCCTCCCCCTGATAGGTCCTGAGGAATAAAGCCAGGTTTCTGATTAGGAGGCCTTTGGAGCCTCTTGCAACACCCTATCTCTCATGGAGGCTGATAACATCACAATACAAAATACTGTCCTATCTCAGAGATGGAGACCATAGTGTTTATCGAAACAGAGGTCCTCAGCCCGAGAAGTACATGGGTGACCAGGAACCCTAAGAAGCTTTTTCATGACCTGATTATCATTGAACTTTGCATTTTCATTCCAGAATACCTAGTTTTAAGGGTAAATACTAATCAATCAATACATTTACTGAGTAGGTCATTGTAGAAGACAGAAAGGTTTCCTTCAAAGAGATGACATCCTGAGCCTCTAGGAATCAAGAATGCCAACTTGGACACAGCTATTGGGGTTGGGAGGGTAGAGGGCTTGAGCAAAAAAGAAAAAGAAAAAACTCATGGACACTGACGACAGTGTGGTAGTGATTGCTGGGGTAAAAGGGCAGGGGGGACAGTGGAGGGAAGTGAAGAAGGGTATAGGGAGGATAAATGGTGATAGATGGAGACTTGACTTGGGGTGGTGAACACAGATGATGTGCACCTAAAACCTGTATAATTTTGTTAACCAGTGTCACCCCCAATAAATTCAATAAAAAAGAATAAATAATCAAAAAGGCGCTAGGTACAAATCCAGCTTACTATCTGAGGAGCCCCTGCCCTCCCTTCACCCCCAAAGTCCACCTCCCAAATGCAGATTCACTAGTTTCCAGCCCTGTTACTGATCTGACTGAGGAATTTGGGAATTGTTTCCTAGTTTGTATTGTTTAATTGTCTTTAGAAGTCCTATCCTCTCTAAAATGATAAACCAGCCTGAGGGTACTCTTGAGAGCAAATGCCTGCAGGCCATCAGATGGACCCACTCACAGGCCCTGGGCATGCTCCTACCACACAGAGAGTGTGGGGCACCTGGCTATGCTTGAGGCTAGACCAGCACACTGGGAGCTCTCTGGAGTGCCCAGACAACAGCTGCGGACAATGTCTGCTGGGAACAGTGTGGAGACTGCATGATCACTTTTGACCTAACTTGAAATAAGCATTCACAGGTGAACCATAACAAAAGAAATATGGGGAGCTACAAAAAGCACTGGGTTTTAACTTCCTGATACTATACACTTGGTGTGCATGTGCATGCATGTGTATCTGTGCATGTGTGTGTACATGTGCATGTTTCCCTTACATTATTTCAATACTAAATTATTATGCATCTAGTTAGGTTTGCTCTACCAAGCGTAGGTATGATGACATGATTTCTCACTGGCTACAAGGATCTGAGAACACTTTTTACACAGGCAGCAAATTCCATAGACGACACTTAGCCCTTGCTAGGGTACCCAACAATAGGTTTGTGCAGAGGCTTTGATAGGGGGAAGGGTAAATAATAGGAATAGGACCACAGTTGTTTAAAGATTATTCACCTCACCTTACTAACTAAGGGGCTTTCTTACAGACCCTGGGAAACTGGAAGATGTGCTGCAAGGAGAAAGACAGGGCTATAAAAAGATAAGAGACGCCTTGGAGCCTGCTTGGGTCCATTATTCAGAAAAGAGAATACATTTTGAGAACAAACCAAGGAAATGCTTTGATTTGGTTGCTGAGCCTGGACCCTGACCCCCTCTGGGAGTTTGCCTCAGAAATGTTGACTATTATCCTGTCCCAGGAAGGGGCTGAGCTGGGTTTTCACATCATAGAAAATTAACTACCTTGTTATTGGACTTCAAGATCCTGGAAAGAGACACAGGGAACACAGACCCTGCAGCCCTTATTCTGCCCCGTGTACTCCTTGCAGGTAGCTCTTCTTCCTTATCCATATATAATCAGCCAGCTAGCAAGAGATGTTACAGCAGAATTTTCTGGATGACCTGCTACTCTCCCATACTGCTGGCATTATTAGAATAAACGCTCATATATGATCCAACCTTGTCTCTGCTTAATTTGGCTCAAGTAGTGAGAGGTGATCCGCACCCATTTTGTATCTGGTTTCAGCTTTGGAGTCTCCCAATTATGGGAATCACCTCCAAAGATATCCATGCCTCAAGAAATATTAGAGTTTCCTATATAAGTACTACTGAAAACATTAAGAATTACTAAAAAATGAGAGGATTAGAATATAGAATCATCAATGTTTTGACTTAAAGTTTTAACAAGAAAGCTTTAAAACAAACAAAAATAGAATCACAGTACATGGACAAGTAAGAATATTGTAAACGTGTATGCTATTCTCGTACATCTTCTACAAGGATAACTCTAAGGGAAGAATCAGACCATTTCCATGAACCACAACTGGTCCCAATTAGAATAGTAGAAAACAAAAATTCACTAAGACTATTACAAAACACATAAGGACAAGGTATCAGAATCTATTGTAGAATACTTTATAGACACTTTGTGTTTATACAAATGAATGCCTTGTACTTCTTTATTTCCCTCAGGGCAACTGAACCTGCTGAATCTTATCTGAAATCTGGAACTACCTTCCTGTATTATTTTGTAAGGCCACCCCTAAAAGGGCCTTTGAAATATTAAGCCTACACAGTATCTGAGAGGCTTATCACATGTGTCCCTATGACAGATTTCCTTCTGGAATATCTCCTGAGTCCCCAAACCAACTGCCTGTCCCAAAACATAGACTATCTTCTATCATTTGCAGAAGGTTATCCTCCATAAGCTGCAATGGATAAGGAAATCTTTGAAATGAAATAAATCTTCTCTTAAAGTATTGCAATTTATATATTAAACAAATGCAACAGTGGAGGCCTATGGCGAAAGTGACAGATATTATTTCCCCATGAACTTCAAGTTCTCACACTTACTTCTTTACAGGGCTGCCCTGAAATTCTCTTCCATTACACTTCCTTCCTTCACAGAAGCAGCCACTGGGGCTAGTGAAAAACTTGGGGGTTAGAGCCAGAAAACTGAAGAAGGGGAACCTAATAAAGTGGCAGAATGTGGCTGGACTGATAATGAAGGAAAAATCAAAACCCCATTTTTATACTCAACAATCCAAGGTAATACTTATCTACTCAGCCAATCAAGATGTAATAGCTTGACTTACCTTTTTGGGCCCTAGAAAATTAAGAGGTAAGAGGAATCTTTTAAACTAGAACTTTCTCTGCTGAAAATATTTTAGTTTTTCCTCTTACATTATTATGTACACCATCATCATAACATTAAATCCTGGTATTCCTGGCAGTGTGTTTTTAATAGTAAGCATCTATACAGATGAAATGAGACTTCCACATTATGTGTGGACCTTTACCCTATCAACCTATTTGCTCAAGGGAATGTATGTATTAATTCCATTACAGGACTATAACTTGCATAATGGATGAGTTCTCACCACTTTCTGTAGACAAAGGGACATAAGCAACAGGAGAAAAGAGAGTAATATTCATTCTAGTATACATGTGTAACTTATAGCATTGGAAACTATTAGTCATTTAGTTTATCTATTCTTTTTATTTTTGCATTGGACTTAGGAAATTGAAGTGTGTAAACCGAAGCAGTTAAAGTTTTAAGTTCTAGGGAATTCTGAGCTGTGACTATTTTAGTTACATACATATTTAAATTTCTTGCTTTGGAAAGAGATAAAACAATGGGAGTAAGAAAAGAGACACTTATAATCCAAGGTGTTTCATTTACTCTTTTAACCTTCATGGTTTGATTCATGTCATGAAACTGGCACAAATAAATAATGCATGAGCCATTTTAGAATAAATTTCACATGAAACACTTTGGTAGAATGGAAACTATACAGCAGTGATGGCGAACCTATGACACACGTATCAGAGGTGACACGCGAACTCATTTTGGGTGACACGCATCGACAGAGACAAAAAATGGCATAATTCAAATATTTGTCTCTCGCAACGGCCAGAGTTGGGCATCACTCGAGTAATATTATTACTCGCGTTACTCATGATCAATAATGCAATTCTAAAACTGAATGTAAACATGTACATCGGTGTTGCATAGCAAAGATACATAGTGAAAACATCCAAGATACATTGTTCCAATACTGACATTAATAAAAAAAGGTTAAGAATTGCACTATAAAGAGATTAATCTTGACTCATGACATTTTATTATTTTTTCTTGACTTTTCTTTTTTTTAATTAAATCTTTATTGTTCAGATTATTAGTTGTTCCTCTTTTTTCCCCCCATAGCTCCACTCCACCCGGTTCCAACCCCACCCTCTGCCCTTACCCCCTCTCCCAAATGTCCTCATCCATAGGTGTAAGATTTTTGTCCAGTCTCTTCCCGCACCCCCCACACCCCTTCCCCCCACCCAGAATAGTCAGTCCACTCCCTTTCTATGCCCCTGATTCTATTATAATCACCAGTTTATTCTGTTCATCAGATTTGTTCACTTGATTCTTAGATTCACTTGTTGATAGATGCGTATTTGTTGTTCATAATTTGTATCTTTACCTTTTTCTTCTTCTTCCTCTTCTTAAAGGATACCTTTCAGCATTTCATATAATACT